TAACTATAGTTATGTTTACTTATGACCTTGACTAAGGTACTTACTTATAACCCAACTTACTAAGTCCCATGATCCTCTAAGTAGGCGCCAAGCCTGCCGGTGCTGCGGAGCCATCGAAGCCCAGGACCACGCGGTCGGCTTTTCGGGGGTTTGGGGCTTTTAGGGCTCTAGAGGCTTTGGAGTGTTGACCCAGACCTTCCAAAATCCCTTAATTTAGGAATATACCTTAAATCATATTAGGGGCCCTACTATAATCTAAGGTATATTCCTTAATTAAAGGATTTTGGAAGGTCTGGTGGGGATATTCATTCATTTCATGTTTAGGGGCGGGGTAGTTTCTGCGTTTCTGGTGTGTTCGGTTTTGAGGGTTTGGGGTTGAAGCTTATTCGGGGCTTTTTAGGGCTGTTGAAGGGGTATTCCTGAAGGCTGTGTTTTGAGTGGCGCCGTTACAGTGCCGCTGCAGGCCTTTGGGGGCCTTGCAGACCGACGGACTTGGTATTTAAGTAGGTAATGTCGGAGCCTGATTAAGAAACCTTGGGCTTTTTTCGGGCTCCGTAAATGAGTCCTACTATTTTGGGGTTATAGACCCAGGGTTTCTTGCTCAGGTTCCTACATTACTGAGTAGAGCTATAGGTACCCCCGAACGGATCCTAACTGGGGTTATATGATACTTATAACAACTCTTGAAACAAAGCTACTTACCAAGTCCCCCGATCCTCCAAGTATTGCTTTATGGTTTGGGGCGTGTTTTCGGGGTTCGGGTTTGGTGCTCTGGGCGGGCTGTGGGGCTTCGAGTTTCCAGCGTCGAGGATGTAGGGTTGTGGCTTCAAGTTGTTAAGGGGCTTAGGGTTTCGGGGTTCTCGCTTGCTCTTTTTGTGGCGTGGGGTTTAGGGCTGCAGGGAGCTCCATGCCATGCCTAAAGACTTCTTCTCCTAAAAGTGGAGGGATCCTTGTTGACCTTAGGTGCATGTTGAACTATAGGTGGTGCACGGTTGGTGCTGGGCTGAAGTAGGTTTTAGGGTTTTAGGATTTCTGGATTTTCGGCTGTCGGCTCTTCTGCGCTTTGGTCTCTGTTTTTGTTTTTGGGCTTGTGGCATGCGTGAGTCTTGGCGACGAGGAGTGTTTGTGTTTTCATTGGCAGGGCCCTCGGGCCTTAGTTTGGGGTTTAGGGTTTAGGGGTTTAGTAGCCCTTCTCATACCCCCTGCCTAGTTTTACTCGTAGTACACTGTGCCTCAACAGCCTATTCGAACAACCAAGGTTTTCATATGACCTGTTCACGGTAGCCCAAAAGCCCCTCTTATTTTAAGATTGGCCCCTTGCATATCGCCGACACCGGAAAGTCTTCGAAGGGGAATGACATGACCTCTGTTTCCCGTGAGGGTGACTGAGTCATTGAGGTTTGCCCACGCCCTAGACCCTTAAAACCTAAGCCCCTAAGAACCCTAATCGCCAAATCTAAAATCCCAAATGGCCACCTGTACAGGCTGCTCCCAAAAATCCTGCTACCGCCTAAACATCGAACCCAGCACAAGCATTGAAATCCTGAAGCGGAAATCCTACCCCCAGAGAGCCCCATACCCCTTAATTGAGGAACATGGCTTCAATCATAAGATTGAAGCCATGTTCCTCAATTAAGGGGAAGTCTGACAGCAGTGGAAGCAAGGAGGCAGCGATCCCCCGACACCTCTTTGTCCCCACGGCTGCCAGGGTTCCTTGGTTGCATCCAAGACCCTCTCGTGAGAGAAAAGTTCAGGGTGTGGGGAGAGCAAGTTTAGTGTTTACTTACCTTTGCTTAGTAACGAATGGAGGAATGGGGTACAATTATAGCTACTATTACTACCATTCTTCCATTCCCTACTAACCAAAGGTAAGTTTAGGTTTCCGGGGCTTCTGCGGCAGGGTGTAGGGCTTCAGGTTGAAGGGCTTAGCCGCCACAAAACGGAATCCTCCTTTCGGAACACTGCTGCTGCCAGGTACTTGATCTACAGGAAACCATCACTGGGAACTGCTTCTAGATCGTGGGAGGGGTCAAGTGATGAGTGTAGAGCCTTAGGGCATATTCTCATATCGTAGCCATAGGGAGATAATGGGAAAGCTCTGTAGCTTCATGGGCGTGGTACAGGGCAGATTCTCGATGGTTGAGGCTCTTACGTTTGGGCCTCAGGGTTCAGGGTTTGACCTTAAACCTTAAATCCTAAACCCTAAACCCTCAGTCCTGAGCTCTAAATCCTAAACCGTAAACCCTCAACCCTAAACCTTAAACCCTAAGTCCTAGTCTAAACTCTAAGCCCTAAACCCTGAACCCTAAACCTTAAGCCCTAAACCCATCCTTAAACCCCAAACCCCAAGCCATTTGGATTCCCGCCTGGAAGCTCCCACGGGCACTCCACAAAGGAAGGCTCCCGAATTCCTACTTAGAGGATCCTGGGACTTAATAAGTACGGTTAGAAGTACCTGATTCAGGTTATAAGTAGACAGAACTATAGTTACCTTATCTATGACCCTACTTACTAAGTCCCCTGATCCGCCAAGTAGAGGGATGATCAACGTGTCTTCATGCATGTAGAAAGTTAGGTTGGTTTACGTAATTGAAAGTTAAACCCTAGATCGGCCTGAGAAGAAAAAGAAGCGCACACACAACGCATATGAAGCTTTGTAGAAAACCCTGATACAACCGAGTGGAATCTTCGAAAGCTCCTTAAACACAACCTGCAACAAGCCGATAACAAATTTGTAGAACCGGTTTAGTACACAAACCGAGCCCAAGAAGACTCTTTTGTCACCCTGGCTCCTTCTAAGAGTCTGAAGCTCTGCAAACTCTGTAAATCCTCCTAAATTGCATTCCAGGAAGCCACCCGCCAATGCACCGAATCGCGAGGCTCGCGAACGGTGGTTTGGGGTCTTGTTTTTCAGTACGGCTTTTACAAAGGGTTAGATAGACGTTTCAGAATTTATTGTTTCGGGGTTTAGGACACAAGGCATCGACGCCTGAGTTCTTCGCTTCTTGCGGTGCCCCGAAGTGCCAGGCACGTCCGTCCACGCGGCCTCGCAGCCTCTCTCCTGAGATATCGAAACGGGCATCTTGGCTGTGACGATGGGGCGTCGCCTCGAGGCCATGATCCTTGTCGTACTTAGAGGATCATGGGACTTAGTAAGTTGGGGTTATAAGTACCTGAATCAAGGTTATAGGTAGATATAAGATATAGCGATAGTTACCTTATTTATAACCCTACTTACTAAGTGCCCTGATCTTCTGAGTATTGCGTCCAGGCAGCCCAATATTCAGTCAGTTGGTCAAAGAGGATGTTTCCTGAGACTGCATAGGGCATAGGGATCGTTGCTAGAATGCAAGTCAACGAGGGGTTTTGCGCTCTCTGAAAGAAGGGTTCTCAACGGAGACACATCCCTTCTAGCGGGAATCGTTGTTACTACCCCCTGGACCCGAGTCACGCGAACGAAGTTATCCTATACAACAAACCCTTTACTTGTAGACCCCAAAAATCCCTGCACGTTAACAAGGCATAAGTTTGCGCACGGAAACCCCAAACTTTCATAGATTCTATGATAAACCTCACAGCTCCCAAACCCGAACAAAAGTGCAGGTGCCCGGGAACGTTACTTTCCTACCTTATAGCTTACTTTGACAGCCTTGATGTAGAAGACGAGAAGAAAAGATTTAGGGCTTAGGGTCTTAGGTTTTTTGGATTTGGCTTAGGGTTGAGGGTTTGGGGGTTTAGGGTTGAGGGTTCAATGTAGAAGACGACAAGAGCAGCACATGTAGATGTTGAGGGTTTAAGGGTTTGGGGTTTAGGGATGAATTCGAAACTCAACTCTCCGAGAACTCCGAAGCCCTTGACGCCTCAGTTTTGGTTTGACTTGCGCCGGGGGGACCCAAAGTAAAGTTTTTGGCTGCTGAAGATAGGGGTTATTCAGGGTTTGGAGGATTGGGATGTAGGGTATAGTGGGCCTCCCAGACAGCTCAATATGCATCAGTCGAGCGATACACCTCCAACTACTCATTTATATTGAACCCTAAACCTGAGACCCTACTATATAGTGGGCTCTCTGGGGCATTCCCCGTGTTGCTGGATAATGACGCAAAATTTGCGATGAGCGACGATCTGCTTCAAAGATGAGCAGCCAGAGATTTCGCTCTCGCGGCATGCATTGGACAATGGTATTTGTACGTTGGCAGCCGAAGAGTTGAAAGAGCAGTAGGTATCTACCGTTCGACTCGCCCTAAGCCGTGTCTGTAAACCGAGCCGCGCGTGCAGATGCCATCAGCAGCCTATTCGTGCACCAGCGCGTTCAGAAGTGCAAGCTATGCAGATCGCGCCGTGCAGAAGCGACAGAAAAGGGGCCTCGCCACCTGCTCAGAATCCCGTGCCATCAGGGAGAGAAGACCTGCATGTCTCCCTACAGTCCTGCGCGATGCTACCCTAAACAGTAAACCTTAAATCCCAAACCCTAAACCCTAAATCCCAAACCCTAAACCCTAAATCCCAAACCCTAAACCCTAAATCCCAAACCCTAAACCCTAAATCCCAAACCCTAAAACCTAAATCCCAAACCCTAGTGAGAGGGTTAGAGTTTGTATGCATGGATCAATGTTATGATCTGTGCCAGTGTAGGCCGAAATCCGGCCGGACCTTCTGCAGAAAAAGGCCCCACTACACTTTAAAAAAAAAAACCCTAAACCCTAAACCCTAAATCCCAAACCCTAAACCCCTAATGTTGTCACGCTTGCGCCACCAGGTACCAAGGGCCCCAGGCCTCAAGGCCCTAAACCCCATGCATCCAAACGTATACAAACCCTCCATTAGGGTCAAAGAACATCACCTACTATAGGGGCCTAAACAGTTACCGTTACCAATACGATTGTGGGGGTTCCTCAATAAGGTTGTAGTATAATGTACCCCAAAAAACTATTGTAATTATGAAGCCCCGTGTATTCCTTGGGGAGTGTGTAGGCATACGCACACCCTCTCGTTGCTTTGCCATGGATCTGGACGCGTGGAAGTTGCTGTCCAGTACAAGCATCCGCAAGGACGATGCGGACTTCTTTTCAGGCACCGGCGAGGTGGCATGGGACAAGGCAGAGGAGGAAGCTGAGACATGTGTCGAAGAGGAATCCGAGACCTTTTTCGAAGAGGAATCCGATGTGTCGGATGAAGCAGAGCAAGCAGAACGCCCATCAAAGAGAGCCAGGTGGGAGTTTCTGAAAACAGGGGACCCTAGTATAGTATCCAACATAGTAGGATCCTTATTATAAGGACCCCAAAATGAAGTACCCCCTCATTTTCGAACACTCCCAGGTCAGCCCCAAGAGTCAGTGGAGCTGGTCCATGCCGCAGCCTAGCCTTGGGCGTCGCCGAGGAAGACGCCGAGATCTTCTCGGAAGAGGAGCCCGACCTGTCGACTGAAGCGCGGCGCACGCGCGCTCCATCCGAAAGAGGCGGGAAGGCCCGGAAGAAGATCGCAGCCCATGATCTCCCGGTGAGGCGAAGAAAAGAGTCCCTTGAAGCAGAGGTGGTGAAGGCCCTGAAGGATGTCCCGACGCCTGATCTCCGGGTGATTCAGAGCTGTATCCATACCTTACCGTCCGAGCTGCGTTTGTTTCCCCCCTGCATCTCATACTGCTATTTCTGGATGATGGGTAACAAGCGAAGATGTGGACAGAGCTGCAAGTATCTACATAGCAAGTTGCCAGAAGGGTCCATTGCAAAGAGCATGATGACCAGGAGTTTGGGTCACTTTGCGATTGAAGATGTTTCCAAACAAGTCTCCAACTGGGTTTTGTGCGATGTGGCTTCGGACCTTGAGGAGCGAAGATGCTTTGTGTTGGACGGCGCTAAGGGAGCTACCATCAGCAGTTTGCAAAGACCGCAGGACGAGGTTCTAAGTCCAAACGTCGATGCAGGTGCTGTGACTTGGCTGCCGGCTTTAGGGACTTGAAGCTTTGGTGGGTTTCTGTACTCATATTTATGTATATGCATATATATATATATATATACACACACACACACAGAAAATAACACACTACAGGCCCCAGTTTTTCATTCATGCCAGTCGGGAGTGATGGATTCAGAGTGTATTCCCCGTACTTGTATAAATCGCTAGCTGTCGCCAAAATCGCTTAAACCACGTAAAAAAACGCGTATTTCACTGCAAAAACACGGGTCTGCATTCCGTTACACACACACACACACTCTCTCTCTCTCTCCCTCTCTCTCTCTCTCTATATATATATGTATATATATATATATATATATGTGTATATATATATATATATATATACACATACATACATACATACATATGCTTCCCCCCCCCCAAGATCGATGCCATCGTGGTTCCTCGGACATGGGGTGCACGAAACACTGTAATGCTCAAAAATTTCCAAAATTTCAACCTCAGACCTCACGAAACGCTTAATTGTGGCATCTACGGCCAGGCCAGGGGCAGATTCCCTAAACTGTTGGAATTTTTTGAGCATTACAGTGTTTCGTGAGCTTTGAGGCTGTGAAAAGTTGATGCTTTGAGCTTTACAGTGTTTTGTGAGGTTTAGGCCATGACTGGAAGTGAGGGCTATAGGGTAGTTAGTTCCTGTACAGTTTGCATGTTACTGACGTTTTGGCTCAAGGCCAATTGCAGAAGCCTAAAAAGTGCTTTCATGGTAGCGGAGCAATCCTGGATGGTTTGCTGCTGTGCTTGTAGAAGAAGGAGAGCGCAGCGCGAGAGAGCCAGGGCCAATTGGGTCCGATTGATTCAAAAGGTAAGGAAGCTGCGAAAGCTTCAGCGTCTTTTCCACAACACTGGAGTGCGGCTCCAGGATTTTCCAAGAAGGTTGCTTGATCGCCTTTCGAGGCATTTTAAGAAAGACTGATGTCTCAGCCGGGAAGTCCCACAGGAGTGGGGGCTACCCAAGGAGAGGAAATGTTACTGAGGCTGCTTCAAGGGCAGCAAGAGCAGCTTCAGAGGCTGCAAGAGATGATGGGAGCCCAGGTTCATGGGCAACAGCAGCTTGCAGCTGCAACCCAGAGCTTTGCTTCGGCTAGCTCGGCCACAAAGGGACGTGGCTTGATTGATGTGAAAGCTGTGGGGCGACCGAGCCAGCTGGGCGGTACATTGGAAGAGGCGTCGCGAAATTGGCGCCAATGGTCGTATCGTCTTGAGCTTTGGCTAGCCTCGCAATTTCCGGATGCTAGGAAGATCCTTGCTTGGGTCAAGGAGAAAGGTGATACCGAGATTCCCTTAGCAAGCCTGGAGTCGACTTCGATTACGGGCGTTGCCAAGGAAGCGGTGCTGGAATTTAATCGCCAGCTTGAGGTGGTTCTTGGGACGCTTACTAGCGATGCGCCTGGGGACATCACGATGAATAGTTCGACTGGGTCAGGTTTGGACATGTTCCGGAGGCTGCACGCCCGCCTGGATCCATCGGACATGGTCACCAGCATGAGGTGGCTAAGGTCACTTATGAGCACTTCGGCGGTGGACTCCGTCACCGACCTGGTGCCAGCCATTGAAAAATGGGAGGATGCTCACCGGCGGTACAGCCAGCGGAAGGACTGCGCACCTTTGACGGAGCAGCAGAAGATGGTTTCTTTGATCGGTCTCGCGCCGTCTGAGCTTCAGGGCCACCTGGAGCTAAACCTGGGAAGGCTCAGCAGCTATGAGTTGCTGAGGAGAGAAATGGTGTCCTTTGCGGATACCATGCGGGCCTTTACGGCCACGGACGGTGCTGTGCCAATGGAGGTGGATGCTTTGAAGGGTGCCAAAGGACCGAAAGGAAAAGGAAAGAAAGGAGACAAAGGAAAGGACAAGGCCCAAGAAACAAGGACTTGTCACATATGCCAACGCGTAGGTCACCTAGCTAGGGACTGTTGGTATAAGGATAGTAAGGGTAAAGGTAAAGGAAACCCGAAGGACCCTAAGGCTCAAGCGGGCAAGGGTAACAAGAACCGGCCAAAGGGCCGAGCCAACGAGCTTGACGGCACGGAGGGCGGCGCCATGGATGGGGCCGGCGATGCCGAATATGAAGCCGAAGAGCCTGATGAGGAAGCCGAGTTGGGCTTTATAGGGGCTCTAGATGGCGAGGGCGAAGCTGACCCCGATGGGGACCAGGGAAGATGGAAGCGGAGGTGATGGAGCGCTTCGTTCCTCACCTGGTGCCGACACCTCTGGAGCCGGGAGCTCCACGGATCCCCCGGCACCCAAGGCAAAGGCCAAAGCGGGAACTACCAGTTCCACCCCAGTGGGCCTAAGGATGGCCGATATGAGTGTGCTGAACAAGCTTCAGGAAAGGCGAAGGGAGCTTGAAGCTCAGATCGCCGAGGTGGAAGCCAAGGGCAGCGAAGGTGACCAAGGGGAGCTCACCATGCACCGGCTGATGCTGGACATGGTTAAGGGTCAGATAAAGAGGGCCCAGGAGCTCAAAAGGAACCGAGAAGAAAGGATCTCGGCTAGGCTTCAGGCCGACCTGAATGCGGGTCACAACCCGCGGCTGGCAAAGCGGAAAGAAAAGAGCCGCCAGAGAGCGGCCAAGCACCGACAAAGCCTCAGGCTAGGGCAAGCCAAGGCACGAGTTAGAAGGGAGGAGGCCCTGGAGAGGAGGTTCAACATACCCGAGAGGGCACGCAAGCAGGATGAATATCCGTTGCTGCCCAGTGCTGGGTCCAAGGTGGCTGCACCACCCTCTCGCCGGGAAAAGGCTATGATGAGAGGCGAAGGCGAGGACCGCGAGCACTCTGGGGATGAGCTCGACGAGCCCAAGGAAAGGGACTGGAGTGCCAAGCCTCGGCGGCTAACTCCAGAGGGCCGCGAAGGCAAGAGGCTGCGAGAGCAGAGGAGGAAGAAAAGAAGGGCTCAGGAGATGAAGGAAGAAGCGGGTGGTGGACCGCCTCGGTCCCCACCGGCAGGGGTTCGAGGAACCGACCGGCCCAGTGAGCCGAAGGGGCCACCGCCTAAGCTGCGGCCGACCCCTAAGGTTCGACCGACGCCCAAAGAGCCGAGTACTCCGCCACCGGGCCATGAGTCGAGAAGGAAGAAGAAGGAAGAGGAAGAAGAGGACCTGGTGGAGATGGTCTTCACCTTCATCGACGGCTCGGGGGTTGTGGTGCGAAGAAAGGGCATCTCCGAGCTCACCCTCAGCCAGAAAAGGAAGGTGGAGGAGGCAATCGCCTCTGCACCTTGGAGGGCCGAGCCCAAGACCCGAGGCAGGCCCCAGCTGAACAAGTACAGCCAGATGTTGTCGAGGTTTGTGAACTACCTCAAGGGCTACCGACCAGCCCTGCCAGAGAAGCAGATCCGCCGCAGGGGTCTTGCGAAGCAGTACCAGGCTGCAACCAGGTTTCGCGCAAGGGTTGGAATCCGGAGGAAACTCCGGGCCCTGGCCCCAAGGGGCACGGTGGGCGAAACGATCGCCAACCGGGACCTGGATGATGACAGCGACTGCCACTCGTGCCACAGCAGGCGTGTGAAGACAACCGAGCCTGCAGACCGCTTTTACAAGAAGCGGCGGGCAGCACGGGCCAAGCAAAAGGCCCAAGAGCTCCTGAGCGAAGACGAGGAAGATGCTCCAAGGGGGTACGACGACCCCGACACAGACTCAGACCCCGGCCACCGTCCGCTGGGCCGTGGGCCAAGGAGCCCACCAGGTGGTGGGGAAGGAGCAAAGGAGGCCGTGGCGTACTCCTTGGCTACCACCATCCAAATAATCCTGGATAGTGGGGCAAGCCACAATGTGATCCCACAAGAGTGGGTGAAGCACCTGGAATGGGGACCCGCCGAAGGACCGGCAGGCTTCCGCACCGCAGATGGAAGCTGGCTGCCAAACCTCGGTACGGCCGTGGTGTCTTTGAGGTCGACCGAAGGGTTTTCCTTTAAGGTCCGGTTTTGCGTGGCCTCGGTGCAGCGTGCGCTTCTCAGAGCGACCCAAGTGCTGAAGCTTGGGCACACGATCGTCCTGAAAGGATCGAGAGCGGTGATCCATGTGAAAGGAAGCAAGGAGAAAACTTTGGTGTTCAAGATCCTTGGGTCGCCTAAGGCGACGTTTGCTTTCAAGGGTTTCCCGCGGCACTGCCCGGAGGAGTGCAGGTAAGCCCAAAGGGAGGCCGGAAGCCCGAAAGCGTTTCCACCCACCTTGCGGTAGCTCAGGGAGTAGGTGCTGTAGATGTACAGAAGAATTCGAAAGTTTCACCTGACAGCCATTTTGGCGCGGTAGGAAAAGGTAGCGTTTTTCATCTTCCTAGGCCCCCTCCGGTAGCTAGTTCTCCCGACCACTTTTTCATAGGATCAGAAGGAGAAGAGGACAAAGCCGAGGAGGAAAGAAGCAAGGCAAAGGGGAAGGCAAAGGAAGAACCAAGAAGCCCAACGCGCAAAGCAAAGGAAAAGCCAAGAAGCCCAACACGCAAAGCAGAGGAAAAGCCTAGGTCTAACTCGGGCAAGAATCGATCTGGATCCCTTTATGTGGGTGAAGCCGGTAGTGCTGATCCACCAAGGGAGGAAGCTGCTTCAGCGTCCTCCCAGCCACAGGTCGATGAGGGTCAGTCTGCTCAGCCGTTGGCCCGGCCAGACCGACCAACGCCCGAGATGATAGCAGCTCATGAGGTTTCCCATGTTCCACACAGGAGTTGGTGCAGAGCCTGCGTTGCAGGTCGTGGTCGAGCTTACCAGCACAAAGCTTCGGGTCAGGAGTCCACGGTGCCTGTCATCAGCATGGACTACCTCTACTTCAATGAGAGGACCGATGGTGCTGGACTGCCCACCATAGTCCTTCGCGATCGCCACTCGAAGGCTATCTTCTCGCACCTCCTCCCGTGCAAGGGAACGACTGGGTCTACGCACCCTGAGCGGGCTATCTTGAAGGACCTTGAGTTCCTAGGGTACAAGAAACTGGTCCTGAAGAACGACCAGGAAGCTTCTATCAAAGCTCTATCTCTAGCTGTCCGAAATGGCTTCAGTGGAGAGATTGTTCCGGAAGAGTCACCGAAAGGGGACCACCACGGACAGAGCAACGGGGAAGCTGAGAGGTCCGTTCAGACAGTGCAGGGTTTAGTGCGGACCCTGAAGGCCAGTTTGACCGAGAAGGGCATTACCCTTGAACCCACCTCATCCGTGTTTGCCTGGATGATTGAATATGCTGGTGTACTGCACACCCTGTTCAGTCAAGAGCTCCATGAAGGGCTGACGCCTTTTCAGCGAATAAAGGGGCGCAAGTGGCAAGTGGCTTTGCCATGCTTCGGTGAAGCTGTAGACTACCGCCGCAATACGCGCTCAAAGCTGGATTCGCGATGGCAATCTGGAGTTTATCTGGGCCTACGTCTGCAAAGCACGGAGAAGATCGTGGGGACCAACCAAGGGATCTTTGTGGTCCAGAGCATCAAGCGGAAACCCGAGGGCCAGCAATGGGATTCCGACTTGGTCAAGGCAGTTCGTGGATTGCCCTGGAAGACCTCTCCGGACGAGACTGGAGATGGTGCTCGATTACCCGAGCCACTGACCGTTCGAGCTCAAGTTGAGGAGGGACTGCCTCCACCTGCTCGCGAACTGGTTAAGCCCGAGGTAGCACCCTTCAGACGTACCTACATCCGCCAGTCTGACCTAGACAAGTTTGGGTATACGGCTGGATGCGAGGCATGCTCAGCAATCCGTGAGGGTCGAAGGAGAACGGGCATCAACCACACTGAGCACTGCCGCTCAAGGATCATGGAAGCCCTAAAGGACTCAGAAAGCGGAAAGAACGCGAAGAGCAGCGTGAGAGTGAATTCTTCGATAAGGTGAACAAAGCGGAAGAGAAGAAGAGGAAGGTGAGTACTGAGCAGGAGGCGTCCTCTTCCACAGACCCTCCAGCGGCCCAACCTTCCAGACCTCTGACCATTGCTCGCCAACCGCCTTTGAGGCCAGAGGTTCCGAGTGAACCTAGCTCTCTGCCACCTGGTGGTGCGGCTGCTTCAGCTGCGCCCAGTGGGGGCCAGAAGAGAAAGAGTGAAGGCGGGGGGGAACGAAGGTCGTGCCGGGCTGGCACCCCCCGACGAAAGGTCCGAGGGTCAGAAGCGGAAATCACCTGAGGATGCCGAGGGCATGATCGAAGAGCTCATTCTACAAGAGCGCGAAGGTTTCATTGCCAGTATCGAGAACGAAGAACAACCTACATGCGACCTGGAGGACGACTTGTGGGAGGAAAAGTTCTACGATGAGAATACTGGTAAAGAGCTTCCCGCCGAAGGTGTCAAGCAAGCTCGCATGGAGGAGATCCAAGTTATCACAGGAAGAAAGGAATCAACGAAGATCCGAGCTGGACCGAGTTCTTTGCGGCAATGCCGCCATTGTCCTCATTGAGGGCTCTATTCACGCTGGCTACAACTGGGCGCGTACCCGGCCCAAACAAGAAAGCCTTTCAGATGAACGAGCATGGCGAAGTTTGTGTGCTGTTCATTGACGTGAAGAAAGCTCACTTCTGGAGTCCAGTTAGGAGGCGACTCCTCGTGGAGCTACCACCAGAAGCTGGGGAAGGACCTGACAAGGTCGGCCTTCTCAAAAGGAGCCTCTACGGAACCCGTGATGCACCGAGCAACTGGGAACATGCCATCAAGAAGGTAATGACTGACTTGGGGTTCAAGCAAGGAGTGTCCAATCCATGTCTTTACTTTCACCCCGAGCATGGCTTACGTTGCAATGTGCATGGAGACGACTTCACAGTAGTCGGGGGCTACAACAAGCTTCAATGGTTGATTGAGTCACTTCAGAAAGCGTGGACAATCGAGGTGCGAGGAATCTTGGCACGGCCCGGCTCGAGCCTGCCAGGAGTTACTCATAGCATCTCTGTGCTGAACAGATTGGTTACATGGACCACTGAGGGGATTGAGATGGAAGCTGATCCTCGCCATGTTGACCTGGTGTTGGAACATCTGGGTTTGAACAACTCCAGCCCTGTCACCACACCACTTGTCAAGAGCACAGGGGATGAAGATGAAAGTCCACTCTCCAGGGAAGATGCTGGACTCTACCGGTCCATAGCAATGAGAATTGGGTATCTGTCAAGCGACAGACCCGATATGCTTCGGACTGTGAGGGAACTTGCTAAAGGACTTAAGGAGCCCACTCAGTATCACTGGAACCTGCTCAAACGCGCAGGGAGATACTTGAGAGGAGCACCTCGCCTCGTACAGCTTATTCCTCACCAAGAAGGGTTCAGTGTCATTCAAGGATGGACTGATACAGATCATGCAGGATGCGTTCGCACGAGAAAATCCACAACCGGGACAGTCGTGCAACTAGGGAAGGCAGTCATCAAAGCCACTGCAAAAGGGCAGGCAGTCATAGCACTCTCCAGTGGGGAAGCTGAATACTACGGCCTGATATCCACCACCAGCGCATGCTTGGGTGAACAAGCAATGTTGGCTGATTGGGGCATCAACTGCCCTGTGGTCATCAACATGGACGCCACCACAGGCATATCCATTGGAAGCCGGAGAGGTCTTGGACGTGTGAAGCACATCCACACCTGCTTCCTGTGGGTTCAAGAGGTGATCGATTCCGGCCGAGTTAAGCTGAAGAAAGTCCCTACGGGAGAAATGCTGGCTGACCTGATGACAAAGCCTCTGGATGCGAAGCTCATCCAGAAGTTCCTGCAAGGAATGGGCTACAACAGCAGAGCGGGACGACATCCTTTGGCCCTGAAGACGTGAAGCTAACAACCCATGCCTCACCACTCGTGAGAGCTGTGCCAGCATCTCACTCGGGAGGCGTGACTGGAAGTGAGGGCTATAGGGTAGTTAGTTCCTGTACAGTTTGCATGTTACTGACGTTTTGGCTCAAGGCCAATTGCAGAAGCCTAAAAAGTGCTTTCAGGCCACGAAGCACTGCTATCCTCAAGTTTTGTGAGCTTTCAGGCTGTTAAAAAGTTGATTTTTTTTGAGCATTACAGTGTTTTGTGAGGTTCAGGCCACGAAACACTGTAATGCTCAAAAAGATCAAATTGTTACCAACCTCAAACCTCGCGACAACACTGTAATGCTCAAACAATTCCATAAATTCCAAAATTCTGGCATCTATGGCCAGGCCGGGGTCAGATTCCTTAAAATTTTGATTTTTTTGAGCATTACAGTGTTTCGTTGGTTTTGGGGTTAGAAAAGCTGCATTTTTTGCATGAGTTTTCCTTCAGTTAACTCTTGTTCATGCTGTCCCATACCCCGGAGAAGATGCCGACTGCTATGTCCATAGCTGTTTCTCCAGTAGCTGTCATGCAACGTAACGCAAGAAAGTAGCTCTCTTCAATCTTCACGACACTCCCTAGATGTGATTAACAGAGAAGGAAAATCTCGTTGCTGGTATCTTTTATTGAACGGGCAAGAGGCGTAGACTTCTAGCGGTTTGTATAGAAGCCACCTCCCTCATGTGAAAGCGGTACCGGTCCTTCTGTGTATGACTGTGGTTTAGACGCTGTCATAGTTCGTACCACAACATGAAACCGAGCTCTCTTCAGTCTTCTCAAAGAATAAAGGCGCCATCGTTTATTTTTCTCCTGGATCAGCAGGCGTTTCTATTTCTGTTGCTTATAGGTATGAGGATGGCCCGAATAAGTCTTCGTTTACTTCGTCTTGTATCTTGAAAAACAGATAGCGATTGCTGTGCATATGGCTGCTCTTAATATCTGTCACAGATCGTGTCACAATCTGAAGAGGAGTTTTCTTCCATGAAGTGCCATCTTATTTTGTCTTACAAGGATACGGAGCCCCTGCCGAATGTTTCAAGAGCTCTCTTACTTCTTGCTGCCGAGGAGATTTCTTGTGAGCCCCCATGTGCAAATGGAATTTTCAATTCCAAGGGAAAGCGCAAAGAACAGCTATTGGTGGAGTAGGGCTTCGGAAACAAAAGCGCTCGTCTATTCGACTTCCTGCAGGAAAAATGGACCGGAGATGAAAGGAGATCTTTGTGTCTTGTCACTCGTAAATCAAATGCTAGAGCTATTCATCCACATCAGAATCGGACGTTTCACGAGCAGCGGGAAAGAGATGGCCCACGCACACAAACTTCTTCGTAAGAGGACCATGGCTTTTTTTGCTAGAGGAATGTTGTTAATAAGCACACCATAAAACACAAAAAACACAAGGTTTTTAGTAATTAGTACATGAACAAACATGGCACACCCTCCAGCATTTCAGCTTCTCCAACACATAAGCTACCATAAATCTGCGGCCGAGATTTGGCGCCAGATTTGTACACATATCAAACCCGCGACTTGTAGCAGCACGGTTTGCATGCACATGGCGAACGGCACGGTTGTATCGCTATTTGCGGTGTTTTCGGCATTTATAAGTAATCGTTTCCCCCTAATATTAAATGGTCGGGGCCCCCCCCTTCGCCCTAAATAAAAACTCGAGAATGTTTTTATAATTAGGGGGCTGTTGTTATCTCAACTGCCAGAAACACAGGTTCTACAAGTAATTAAATGATGAAAATGATGACGATGAAAATGATGATGACGATTACGTTGATGCTTGTTATGATGAAGATGGCGGTACTGGTGGTGATGGTAATGATGACAATGGTCATGGTCCAGGAGAAGAACATGATGATGATGTTGTTGTTGATGATAGCGATGCTGATCTTAATGAGCATAATGATGGCAAGGGCTGTTGATTCGTACGGTGTCGATCATGGTTGCACTAGTGCAGAGCACATGTGGTGAATGCCAGAAGCTTGGAAATAAAAGGATAATTAAATATGATAGGAACTAATTAATGATGTTCCAAGCTTCTGGCATTCGCTACAAGTGCTTTGCTTCTGAGAGTTCTGTCAGCAATCTGCCCGCTCCGCCACAGACAGGCAGCCTCAAAAAGAGGCCTTTGTGCCTTGGGAGCAACAGGCTGTCGACACACACACTGATGGATTCGGCCAAGAGTACGAGTGCAAAGGACAAAAAGAGGAATGTTGTTCATGTTGCAACTGTTTGTCAGATTGCGGCAACCGTACAAATTGTTTGTCTAATCTGGACACCACAGGGGGCATGTCCTCAGACTAATCTTGGCACCACAGGGGGCTGCCGAAAATTGTGCAGGTACATGACTGATCGTCCTCAATCACTTCCCTTCCAGTGACCTAGCTTCGTTGGATCAGGTCAGTCACTGGAAGCCTGATCCCCCTGCAACAGTTGATTTGGTAAATGTCCAATGTCGGATTATGTTGAAAAGCGAAATTGCAAACATTGTAGGAGTGACCCTCTGCTCCCATGTGCTAGGGAGGTTCACACACACACACACACACACACACACACACACACACACACACACACACACACACACACACACACACACACACACACACACACACACACACACACACACACACACACACACACACACACACACACACACACACACACACACACACACACACACACACACACACAACACACACACACACACACACACACACACACACACACACACACACACACACACACACACACACACACACACACACACACACACTCACACTCACACTCACACTCACACTCACACTCACACTCAAGCACAGACAGACCCACCGGAGCACTCAAACACAGACACTCACTCACACTCACTTCGGAGGCAGACAGGACGTGTGAGTGCTTCGCTTGCCATGGGCGGCGAGGAAGCGCCCGAGAAGGCGGGATCTTTCTAATCTCCCATCTCAGCCATCCTGCAACATGTGCATTGGTGTTCATAGTAATCCTTCAGGCGTAAAAATGACAGGCAGGGGAATTGAGCCCTGGCACTTCCCATTCAGAGTGTAGCACTATCCCCTCGGCTATCCTGTAGCATGTCAAGGTAGTGCAATTCTGACCCCTAGGAGATTATCACGACCACGATTCGCGGGTGCAACTGCAAATGCAGTAAGTACTGACAGCAAAATCAAATTTTGGCGCAGTGGTTAAGGATTTGCCCCGATGCCCAGAAAGTCTGAGAATTACAAGGAGTTAAGATCGGCGCAAACCGCTAAAAACAAATCGGCAGGGTTTTCATGGTCTAGTGGTTAACGTCGTGCCTGCCAGGAGCTGGAAGGCTGCCCGACAGATCCTGGGCAGCAGGGACGAGCGTCAAGGGCATCTTCGGAAACAGGGTGGATTGTGCTTTGGAGTAATTACTGGAGGTGCTTTCTGAAGGATGCTGCATGGACTGTAGAATCATGCACTGAATAGAGGACCCCATGGTCTAATGGATAAGGCGCTCTGTGGGTAACCCACGGAAAGATGGGTGGTTCGAGTCCCCATGGAGTTGTGCTCATGCCAAATCGCAGTACAAGCTTAGTACTGGAACCGCATCGTTCCCAACCCTGTGCGGCAGGGTCCCGGTAGCGTAGTGGTTAGTACATCCTCCCTTGACCCTACCAAGCAGGGAGTCCCCAGCGGGCCACCAAGAGGCCAACGCGGCCGGGCCATTTCTGACAATTGGAGGTGTTAGCCGCTGCTCTCTGTATTTTGTTGTAGGCTAAAGTTCAGGGCTGTAGGCAACCCTAAGCCCTTGCTTGGAAGCTTGTCCTGGCTGACTGGAAGCTGCCTTGAAGTGGACTCTGTTCTGAAGAAGCTGCCCATGGAGAACGACCTGATGTGGCGGCCACTCATCTGTGCAAGAGCAAGAAGCACAATGTCACAGAGCCGGATCCGGCAGACCATGTGGACACTGGCAAATAATCCACAAGTGACAGGGAGACTGGCGACAACTGCAACTCACCGAGAACTCCCCTCGGGCTGCGTCTTTTTTGGGTGGTTTTGGCTGAAACTTGCTGAGACTGGCTGATCCTGACACTTGTGCTTGCTGAAACTGGCTGATACCTGCTGATGCTGGATGCACTGGCTGGCTGAGACTTGCTGATATTCTCAGTACTGGAAGTGTCTCCTGTCCGATGCTGGCTGGATGGTGCTCAATTGTAGTACAAGCTTAGTACTGGAAGTGCCTCGTTTCGGATGCTGTCGGGATGATGCTGCATTGTAATTTATTGGTATAAGTATAGTGCTGGAAGTGTCTCCTGTCCGATGGTGGCTGGATGGTGCTCAATTGTAGTACAAGCTTAGTGCCTCGTTTCGGATGCTGTCGGGATGATGTCAGTGCTGGAAGTGTCTCCTGTCCGATGCTGGCTGGATGGTGCTCAATTGTAGTACAAGCTTAGTACTGGAAGTGCCTCTTTTCGGATGCTGTTTGGATGATGTCAGTGCTGGAAGTGTCTCCTGTCCGATGCTGGCTGGATGGTGCTCAATTGTAGTACAAGCTTAGTACTGGAAGTGCCTCGTTTCGGATGCTGTTTGGATGGTGCTGGCATGTTTCTTCTGATTGTTTCTTTTTTTCCAAACGTGCAGGCCAAGCTGCGAGCCGCTTTGGAGAATGCTTTGGCCGAGCTAGACAAGGCGCAGGGGTGCTGATGAATGAATTGACCGAATTGCTCTAAACATCAGGACGACGAGAGGGAAGCCAAAAGAAGGAAGACAGCCAAGACAGTAGAGGTAGTTGACTTGATCAAGGAAGAACCACAGGCAGTGGTTTGCAGGCAGAGCAGCCAAGACAGCCTAGACAGCAGCCAGACAGCTAGAGGAGTCAAGAGGCAGGCCAGCTTTCACACACCTTCGCCGAAGAAGCGTCTGTTCAGTCCTGACAGCAAGGGTGGAGACAGCCAGAGCCCAGGCAGCCAGAGCCCAGGCAGCCAGAGCCGGGGCAGCCAGAGCCCAGACAGCAACCCTGTGCAAAAGAGAAAGATAGAACAGCTCAAAAAGACCTTAGGCCAAGGCAGTCCAGTCTACTACAGGCTAGACTACCTTTGGGGCAAGGCAGCAGAGGCAGAGGCTAAGCCCGGCCTTTCGCCAGACACAGCTAGTGACAGACAGAAACAGCAGCAAGCGGAGAACCTGCAAAACCTGCAGGAGAAAGCCAGCCAAGCAGTGGAAAAGCTCGGACTGGAGCCAGCTGTTGGAGTTCTTAAAAAGAGACAGGGAGGCAGACCGCTAGGCAGTAAGCAGAAGACGAAACCGGTGCCGCATCTTCGCAAGAAGCGATGTGATGTGATGTGACAGCCAGAGCCAAGCTTTCCATCATGGAAGACTTAGACAGAGCAGCCGTAGAGCAGAAAAGTCGCCGTGCAGCCAGGCAGCATGTCATGAGGCTGTATGGCGTGAGCGAGTCTTTTTGCTTCAACCTGCAAAGAGACTAGCACAGAAAGAAAGTCAGCAACTTTCTCGCCAGCACGGGGCGAGGACACAGTGCGACAGGCAGGCAGCCATTTGGGTCTCGTGCACCTCGTCAGCAAGTCAACAGGCAGGAGACTGCCTGACCCAGGCAAAGTGCTGGGTAGGCCAGACTTTCTCCAGCCAGTCTGGTCTGAGACCCGTGCTTGGGCCTTGAATGCCAGCCAGCACGTCCTGACGAGCACAGACGTGCTGATGGACTTCGAAGAAAGGCTCGACAAAGCCATTGCAGTCAGGCAGGCAGAACAGGAAAAGGGTCTTCTTGACCAGACAGGTGAGAAGGAGCTGGCAGCCATGGTGCAAAAGAAAGCCTCGCTAGCCAGCAAGCCAAAGCAGAGGAGCAAGTACCAGGTCCAGCTCCTCGCAAAGTGCGGTCTTCGAAACAGATCCTGCCAACAGACAGCCAACCTGAGCAAGGAGGATGAGAAAGCCAGGCTAGACTTGTCCTGGCGACTTTGGGACATGCTTCTGGAACAGGCAGCCAGTCCCACGCCACAGCCGGACTTGCCTGTAGCAAGCCCAGAGCAGTGGACGATAAAGCGAGCAGAGACAGCCATCACCATGTCAGATCAAGTACCTGCTTGGCTCAAGCCAACGCCAGGGAAGGTGTTGACATCGGTGGTGCGCTTGAAGCTAGCCAGCGAGCAAAGCAAGGTCAGGCGAGAGAACAGGAAAGCCAGACAAGCACAGGCAAAGGCCAAACCTTCGGCCAAAGCCAAGGCCGCGCCTTGGGCGGTTTTGTTGGGTGGATTCGAAGTGGACTTTCGGGTTTAGGGTTTCCTTAAACCCCAAACCCAAAAGCCAAAGCCTAAACCTTCATGCACCTTCATGCTTTCGAAACCAACCGAGGCACCGAGGCTGGCATGTGCTTCTCGAGCCCCAGGTGTGGCAGCAAGGTGGCGAATCAGCTTGGTAGCTAGACAGGCAGTGCAGAACTTCTTTGCGCCAGACAGACAGCCAGTCGGTGTCGTTATGCCCACGATAATCGTCACGTACGGCAAACACTGCAGACTTGAAAACATCAGCCAGGAAGGCACGTGGATCAAGTCCGAGTGCTTCCAGGTAGGCAGCCAGACAGTCAGGAGAAGGGCAGGCCAGCGAGTGCCAGGACAGGTCATGCGCACTTGGCGCAAACTGCGAGACACCCAGCCACACCTGTTTGATGGCAGTGTCAGGGTGTGGTGCCAGCCAGCCGCAGTGGTAGATAGCGTCATTTACAGATGGCAGCTAGAGCTCGAGTCAGAAGAGCACAGCCAGGCAGTGCAGCTCGTCGATACGCCCGGCGGAGCATGGACGACGGAGTCCATGCACGCCGCTGCACTCCTGCAGCGAGCTCAGACAGGCATTGCAGCCGGGTGCACCGGCTTGACCCAGGTGACAGACATCGGGTTCGCCCAGCCAGCCAAGGCAGCTCTCCGGAGGTGGCAGGAAGACCTGAAGCAGCGCATGAGAGAGAAAGCCAGACAGCAAAAGGTGCAGTGCACCTATAAGACAGGCCCGGCAGACATTCTGGAGGCAGCCAGACAGATGCACGCCAGGATGGTGCAGTTGAAGACAGTCGTTCGCTGCATGCGGCAGGGAGGCTGGTTCCACTTCCGTCCAGACAGTGAAGGCAGGCTTCACGACTGTGGCAGCCAGAAATGGTGTCTGGACTTCCCTGAAGGCAATGCCAAGCTAGGCAGCGACCACCTCAGAGACAGGTCTCGTTGGGTGGACAAGACAGGCAAGGTGCTTCCGTGGACAGAGGCAGACAGCAAGACATTTGATCAATCCAATGCATTCGAACCCGAGGCTACGTACCTGCTTGGCCAGACAGACATACACTTGAGCTTCCGAGCGAAGCCCAATCTCCTTGCTCAGTCAGAAAGAGAGCTCAGAGAGGTCATTCTGAGACAGGTCCACCCGAACCAGAGGAGACGGCTTTTCCAGGAACAGGTGGACCAGACAACAAGCCAGACAAAGACTGAGAAGCAGCAGAAAAAGGAAAAAAGGATCAAGAACGCGAAGCAAGACAGAAAAAGGCGCAAACTTTTGAAAGAATGGAGACAGCAGCAAGCCAACAAGACAAAGAAGCAGGCTCTGCTGTCTGTCGTGCCCAAAGTGGGCCAGAAAAAGGCCAAGAAGAAGGCCTCCAAAGGCGACAAGAAGCCCAGCGAGGTGAAGAAGCAGCAGAAGAAAGACCAGGCGAAGAAGGCTCAAAGACGGGCAGCCGAGCCAGGCAGCGAGGGACACTTGCATGGCAAGCAAGCTCGAGTGATCGGTGACCTGGCTCCGCAGACGCTGCTGGGCAAGATCGTCGTGTGTGGAAACCAGACAGACAGCCAAGTCCTGATCAATGCTGATGGATTTCATGAATGGGTCAGCCACACAGACATTACGCTGGACGTCAGAGACAGACAGTTTCCGCTGGTTTTGGATTTTGAGTCTTTCCCCAGTGCTGCAGCCAGTGAGGAAGCGGCAGCCAGTGCAAAAGATTTGCGGCTTTACAAGCACGAAGAGCTGCTGACAGACAGCCAGCTCGAAGCTGGCATCAGGGAGATGTCATACCGATTCTCCCATGGAGCAGATCCAGCCAGCCTGTGTGTTTTGCGGCCAGCAGAGGCCAAGCAACTTATCCAGACACATACACTCAAGGCAGCAGCAAAGACAGCCATGGACAGCCAGGCTGGTTTGGTCTTGGCAGTCGTGCAAAGCCAGCCTCCGAGACACTGGTCCTTGCTGGTGGTCGAGACAGTCAGAGACAGCCCCGAAGCGAAGGTCAGGTACTATGACACGTTGCCCGGTCTACAAGGAAGCCAGTGCAGTTTTGAAGGTGCTGCTGCAGACAGCCAAGAAACAGGCCCAGCCTTTGCCTGCGCCAGTCAGTCTGCTCAGACAGACAGACGGCTTCTCCTGCGGCCTCTGGGTCTTGCTGTACCTGGAGCAGGAGTGGCGGCGGTGGATGGGTGAGGCCCCGCAGCCACCGCAGAAAGACCTGCCAGCCAGAAGCAGCCAGCTGAACCGCTGGATTCAGCTGCTGCTGCGAGGCAAAGAGCTAGCCAGACAGAAAGAGAGCCAGCAGCAAGACAGCCAGACAGCAGGAGACACCATCGTTTTTGGCTGTGCCCACTGCAGTTTTGCTCTGAGTGGCTGCCTTCGCTGCAACAGAACGCAGTTTTTGAAGTATATGAGTAGCCAGGCACACAAACAGGCAGAGGAGGCAGCAAAGGCACCCAAGGCCAAGGCCAAGACCAAGGCCAAAGCAAAGGCGAAGGCTCTTGGAAAGCCAGGCAGCTCAGGAGCCATCTCGTGCACAACTAAATAATGAATTACATCTCGAGTTCTAAATATACAGTAATTACTTCTTCGTACTGGATGTGCCTGGTTTCGCAAGCTGGCCGAATTGTGCAACATCGTTGTACAAGCTCAGTACTGGAAGTGCCTCGTTTCGCAAGCTAGTTCAATGGTGCCAAATCGTAGTACAAGCTTAGTACTGGAAGTGCCTCGTTTCGCAAGCTAGTTCAATGGTGCCAAATCGTAGTACAAGCTTAGTACTGGAAGTGCCTTGTTTCGCAAGGTATTGTTTGAAAAGGCATTCTTTTGGCAGTAGTGCAGAATTGACTAGCAGTGCGGTAACTGGCAGTAGTGCAGCAACTGGCAGCAATGTGGTAATTGGCAGTTGTGCAGTACTCGGCAGCAGTGCAGCAATGACCAGTAGTGCAGTACTTGGCAGTAGTGCAGTACTTGGCAGCAGTGCAGCAATGACCAGTAGTGCAGTATTGGCAGTAGTGCAGTACTTGGCAGCAGTACAGTGATGATCCGTGGTGCAGTATTATGCAGCAAACTGACAGTACTCTCGACGCAGAGTGCCCAGAGTCTCGGTGCCCAGAGCTTTTGGTCACCCAAAGTCTCGATTCCAGGCGGGGAAAGGGCCTAAATGACACCCCCGGGGATTGAACCAGAGACCATTTCCGCGCTGCTGACGTGAACCCTCCGCCCGCCCGTTAGGCTATGAAAAGATAGGAGCGGGGACGGCGGTGACCCCATTTGCAGTCACGGAGAGATTACAATAGTCGCAGCCCGGTGGGGTCTCCGGTGAGTGTTCCGAGTCGCCACCATATACAGTAATTACTTCTTCGTACTGGATGTGCCTGGTTTCGCAAGCTGGCCGAATTGTGCAACATCGTTGTACAAGCTCAGTACTGGAAGTGCCTCGTTTCGCAAGCTAGTTCAATGGTGCCAAATCGTAGTACAAGCTTAGTACTGGAAGTGCCTTGTTTCGCAAACTGGCTGAATTGTGCCAAATCGTAGTACAAGCTTAGTACTGGAAGTGCCTAAGTGCCTTGTTTCGCAAGCTGGCTGAATTGTGCCAAATCGTAGTACAAGCTTAGTATTGGAAGTGCCTTGTTTCGCAAGCTGGCTGAATTGTGCCAAATCGCAGCACAAGCTTAGTACTGGAAGTGCCTTGTTTCGCAAGCTGGCTGAATTGTGCCAAATCGTAGTACAAGCTTAGTACTGGAAGTGCTTAAGTGCCTTGTTTCGCAAGCTGGCTGAATTGTGCCAAATCGTAGTACAAGCTTAGTACTGGAAGTGCCTAAGTGCCTTGTTTCGCAAGCTGGCTGAATTGTCCCAAATCGTAGTACAAGCTTAGTACTGGAAGTGCCTCGTTTCGCAAGCTAGTTCAATGGTGCCAAATCGTAGTACAAGCTTAGTACTGGAAGTGCCTTGTTTCGCAAGCTGGCTGAATTGTGCCAAATCGTAGTACAAGCTTAGTACTGGAAGTGCCTAAGTGCCTTGTTTCGCAAGCTGGCTGAATTGTGCCAAATCGTAGTACAAGCTTAGTACTGGAAGTGCCTAAGTGCCTTGTTTCGCAAGCTGGCTGAATTGTGCCAAATCGTAGTACAAGCTTAGTACTGGAAGTGCCTAAGTGCCTTGTTTCGCAAGCTGGCTGAATTGTGCCAAATCGTAGTACAAGCTTAGTACTGGAAGTGCTTAAGTGCCTTGTTTCGCAAGCTGGCTGAATTGTGCCAAATCGTAGTACAAGCTTAGTACTGGAAGTGCTTAAGTGCCTTGTTTCGCAAGCTAGTTCAATGGTGCCAAATCGTAGTACAAGCTTAGTACTGGAAGTGCCTTGTTTCGCAAGGTATTGTTTGCAAAGGCATTCTTTTGGCAGTAGTGCAGAATTGACTAGAAGTGCGGTAAGTGGCAGTAGTGCAGCAACTGGCAGCAATGTGGTAATTGGCAGTTGTGCAGTACTCGGCAGCAGTGCAGCAATGACCAGTAGTGCAGTACTTGGCAGTAGTGCAGTACAAGGCAGCAGTGCAGCAATGACCAGTAGTGCAGTATTGGCAGTATACTCTCGACGCAGAGTGCCCAGAGCTTTTGGTCGGTGCCCAGAGCTTTTGGTCACCCAAAGTCTCGATTCAGCCCGGTGGGGTCCCCGGTGAGTGTTCCGAGTCGCCACCCCCTTTTGCTGAGCCTCCCAGTGCCGACTGCAGTGAGGCTTGCCCTGTGGCTTCGGGTCTCTGAGCTTGATGTGAAGCTTCAAGCGCCGGCCGGTCACCTTGCTGTGCAGTTCAGCCTCCGCTGCTGTGTACACCAGCTCCAGCTCCAAGCCCATGCTGAGCAATCGCTGCCAGTCTTCCAGCTGCAGCTCCAGAGGGGTTTACAGAGGGAGGGGTTTAGCCCTGAACTTTAGCCTACACCAAAAAACAGGAGCAGTTGCTAACACCTCCAATGGTGGCCGCTGGACCCAGCGAGTCCCGACCATCAGCTCTGTCCAACTAGTATTTCCTGCCCCGTCG